CAGACCCTTTGCAGCATGCCTGCTTTTTCCCTACATAAGCTGTAACTTTCAAACCAATAAACGAGACTTGATCAGAATACTGTCTTGTCTCCATTTCTCACGTCTCTTGCTTCCATCCCATTCCCACTCCCCCCTCCAGGGTCTGTGTTGAATATCCCACAGGTCGGGACATAGAATAAAAGTATCTCAACACAATAAAAGCCATATATTACAACCCCACTGCCAACATCCTGAATGTGTAAAAACTGAAAGCCCTTCCTTTAAGAACAAGAACAAAACAAGGATGCCTACTCTCACCACTCCTATTTAACATGTTATCAAAAGTACTAGCCAGAAGAATCAAGCAAGAGAAAGAAAGAAAAGGCTTCCAAATTGAAAAAGATGAAGTCAAAGTGTCCTGTTTGCAGATGACAAGATCCTATACAGAGAAAAACCTAAAGAGTCCACCCAAAAACTCTTAGAGCTGATAAATGAATTCAATAAAGATGCAGGACACAAAATCAATATACAAAAATCAGATTGCCAAACCAGCTGCAAAGCTCCTGGGTCTCCCCCTTGGACTCAGCTGCCCAGGACTTGGCTGGGTAAGAAAGGTCAAGAAGAATCCTTGGACCATCCATCCTGACACTCTCCTCAACTTGCTGGCCTGAGCATCAGCCAGGCTCCACTCCTTGGGCACAGGAGAAGCTGTAGCAGTTGTGGCGGCAGCACCTGGCATGTATCAGAGCCTGTGGCAGCTCTGCTTGGCCCTGCTGCAGAGGGACGTTCCTGGCCTGCTCCTCCTGCCTTCTCCTGGGCTTCACCGCAAGTTGTTCCTGCCAGCAACTGCCCCACCACCACCTGCATCCCCCCCCCCATCTCCTCGCAGCAGCCTCAGCAGTCTTGGGCACCACAAGGTCATGCTCCTGAACAGCATGTTCCATGGGAAGCAGTGTGAGCAGACTCAGTAGTGCTCTCGCAAAGAGAGGCACTGCCTCCCAGCACCCAGAATATTTGCCGTCACCTGATCCAGAATATCTGGAGCCCACTGATCCTAAAGAGCTTCTCAAGGAATTCAGGGCTGTCCTGCATACTTGACGTCCCCAGTTCCAGAGGGATTCTGTGGATCTGAAGACAGACTGCCCCAGTAGCCACCTACCTATTAAGGTTATGCAATGGAACATCCTCGCCCAAGCTCATGAAGAAGGCAAAAACAACTTTGTACAATACCCTGTTGAAGCACTCATGTGGAAAGAAAGGAAATGTCTCATCCTAGAAGAAATCTTAGCCTACCAGCCTGATATATTGTGCCTCCAAGAGGAGGACCAATATTTTGACACCTTCCAACCACTCCTCAATAGACTGGGCTATCAAGGCACATTCCTTCCCAAGTCCTGGTCACCTTGAATAGATGTAGAACATGACAATGGACAAGATGTCTGTTTTTTACAAAATGCCTTTTATTCTCCAAACCCAATTCAAGCTAGTCAACAGTGCCTATTCTCACCACTCCTATGCTGATGGCCATGACATTAAAAACCAGTAAGATGGCCACTGTACAGACCCTAGAGTGCAAGAAGTCAGGATGATAGTTCTGCATTGCTGTCATCCACTTAAAAAAACACTAGTTGGGAGAGGTTTCGATCAGCTCAAGCTTGTGATGTTCTCCAGAACCTGCAGAACATTACCCAAGAGCCAAGATTTCCCTTTATTATTTGTGGAGACTTCAATGCAGAGCCAACAGAAGGGGTCTACAAACACTTTGCTTCCTCCAGCCTCAACCCGAACAGCACCTACAAGCCACTGAGTGCTGATGGGCAGTCAGAACCTCCATATACTACCCGGAAGATCCTGACAACAAGGGAGTGCTGGCATACCTTGGATTATATATTTGGCATTCTAAACATGCTCTAAGTGTAAGGTCGGCCCTTCATTTGCTCACCAAAGAACATACTAGACTCAACTAGCCACCATCCTTCAATTATCCTTCAGACGACCTGTGTCTAGCATGTGACCTCAGCTTTAATGAGGAACCTGACAGACTTTTACAAATGCTTGACTATGTCTTTTTAATCATAAGAGTCATAACCAGGGATGGTTCAGGAAACTGAAATATATGATAAAAGTCGCCTGAGGAAGGATTCCCAGTTTCTATCACTTCGCTTTTCATGTTTCCAGCATGTCCTTGGGAAAGAATCTCACTACCTTTTCCATTAAAACCTACAGTGAAGGTGGCTGCACTCAAAAAAAAAAAAAATCAATAGTGTTTTATATACTTACAATTTACTAGCAGAAAAAGAAATCAGGAAAACAAGCCCATTTACAATAGCTACCAAAAAAGTGAAATATGTAGGAATATATTTAACCAAGGAGGTGAAGGAACTCTACAACAAGAACTACAAAACACTGCTGAGGGGCCAGCCCGGTGGCGCACTGGATAGTGCGCCGCTTGGGAAGCGCGGCGGCGCTCCCGTCCGAGGGTTCGGATCCCACATACAGACCGGCTCCCGCTCACTGGCTGAGCGAGGCGCGGGAGCAACGCCGAGGCTTGCGATCCCGTTGCCGGTCCCCGGTCCGGTACGGGGGCAACACTGAGGGTTGCGATCCGTTGCCGGACACGGAAAAAAGACAA